TCTTATTTATAGCCTCCAGTCGTGTCGACCTGAATTATGGATTCTGAGCAGTTTAGAGGCGGAACAATAAAACCGTCGACCCCATTTCTGAAAAGTTGGCACGTTGTGTAAAATAGATAAGAAAGGAAGCAGAATGCAACTGATCTCATGAACTCGTTGGAACAAGAACCTGTCACGTGTTTGGGGGAAATATAATTTGATTTGATGCAGCAACATCTGAAGAGCAGCAGCTGAAGATGCTAAATGTCCTTCTGTGTTGTGTGAACGTTTATGAAGCTGATCCGTTTCTCTGCATCTTTCTCGTCCCGCAGTTTTCAAACTGTTTCAACAAATCATGAATCAAAACGTTCAGCTCTTTCAGGACAATCCTGCTACGACTTTTAGTTTAGGTGCAACTTCAGCTTTTTGAAATATTTAGCCTTTTCTGACGTTTTTCTCATATAAAATGAATTGAGCTCATTTTACATCCTTCAGACCTTTTGCTGCTCCTTTCACATTGTGTTCTAGTTCAGCTTCTTTGTGCAAATTTAAACTTTTTTTTTTTTTAGCTATTTTCAGCAAATTTCAGCTGTTTTGTGCTCCTTTCAGGATCTTTCTGCTATTTACAAAAATTTTTTGTGCTTCTTCTAACTTCTTTCTGCTAATTTCAGCTTGTTTTGCTCCTTTCAGCTTATTTCTGCAAGTTTCAGCTTTTTCTGCTAATTTCAGCTATTTCAGATAAATGTTAATTTACTTGTATGTGAATGTTTCTGTTCAGTGCCCTGAGGCGACTTCTGTTGTGACTTTGTGCTATGAATAAACTGAATTGAACTGAATTGATTTTTCAGCTACTATTTAGCAGTTTTTATGCTAGTTTGAGCTGTTTTTGGCTAATTCCACATTTATTGCACTTATTTCAAAAAAATTCAGCCACATTCAGCTTAAATGTGCTCCCTCCACTTCCTTCTGGTAATTTCAGCTTCTTTCAGCCTTTTTTTTAGCTAATTTTCAGCTGTTTATTTTGCTAATTTCAGCTTTTTTGTGCTCATTTCTGCTTCTATCAGCAAACATTTTTTCTGCTGGCTTGTTTCAGCTACAATTAAGCATGTTTTTAAGCTAATTTCAGCTGTTTTCAACAATAAGCATTCACACTGCATTTTTGCAGGAAATGCAATTTGTGTAGTTTGTTTTTATTTCTCTGTTTCTTGTGTTCTGGTTCAGCTCCGTGTCATTCAGTCAGTTACCTGTTTCTGATCAGCAACAGGTGCTGCCACTGTCCACTGTGCCACCGTTCCGTTTAAAGCCCCTCTGATCACCATTCCTGCAGCGGGTCGTTGTTTTGGCTTCCCGCCTCATGTCACTCGTTCCTCCTCCAGTGCTCCTGTGGTTCTGTAAGTTTGCTGCCACGTCGGCGCCTTTTCTTTTATTTAATAAATAAGATTCTTTATCCGAGCTGCCTCTGCCTGCATCTGGGTCCGATCCCCGCCAGGACTGTGAAAGTAAAAGTAACAAACAGCTGGAGGATAATTGTGTAACTAATTAAGTTAATTAGCAAAAGGTTTGTAAAATGAAAAGACTTAGAAGGACGTAAACTCATGGGCAGGGGTTCACCGGGCTGTGGAAGTCTGTGTAAAATAAAAAAAGGAGGAAGAATCAGAATCAGAACAATGTTCAACAAATAACTGACGGACTTTGATTGTCCAGCCCGCTGCGGTTTATGATGTCATCAAAAGTTTCTGTAGAAGGACGAGGCTGGAAGTCGACGCTGGGGGGTCGTGATGTTCGGGCCCTCAGGGGCCACTGCATTAAAACCAGGCCCGGTTCTGTTCTGGGCTCAGGAACTCTTCCACTGATCGTTGTCTGTAAACACAGTTCATCCACAGAGGCTGCTTAAAGCTCTATCAGACAAAGAGGAAGCCAGATGTGAGCAAAGTCTTCTCTGGACCAGAGCTCCTCCCAGCTGTTTGAAGGTTTAATTTGAAAATGAAACTGTTTGAAGAAACTTTGCAGGTGCAGCTGAGACTCTCGGAGCGTGCACGTTTCATTTGTGTGCTCAGTTGATTGAAATCAGCTTGTTTACATTAAATCTTCTCAACTGTTCAAATCTTCTTTTTCCAACACATTAAATCTGATCTGAGGTGTGGACACGCCCTCCTGCAGCAACATCAGTATTTCCACGCTCTTTAAAAACACAACAATCGGTGTGTTTGTTTTTTTTTGTGCGTTCCACTTTGCGTTTGATAAATGAAGTCGATGTGATTCGAGCAGGAAGTGGGAAAACGGCGTGCAGGGTGTCGCTCAGATGGTGACGGCTCTCATCTCTGCACATCTGGCTGCAGGAAGCGCCTGATTCGACTGAAGGACCAGCTGAAGCTCGGCCTGATTTCTGCCTTTGTGTCGCGCCGAGGCTCTGATTAGCTCTCAGCTGCAGCGACCCGTCAGGGTTCGCCTGGTTCTGGACCTGTGAGAGCACATCTGGGGCGTCTTCAACCTGAGACGACTGAAGACACTGAACATGATGCGCGGGTCAAAGAGACGTAGAAGAATAACATGACGGCACGGAAACAATCCCAGGCAGAGGTGAGTCAGAGCCATGTTTGATTTTTTAACAGAAATTTAACTAGTTTGATCATTTTGTTTCTCTTAAAAAGAGAGTTCAGATATTTAAAGTGTGGGTTCTCTAGCACCAGCTTGTTTATTTGTTTGTTTTATTATTTATTATTATTTATTTAACCAGGCAAATCTCATCAAGATCTTTTTTGCAAGGGAGGCCGGGCCTGACGGCGGCATAACATGCAGGTTTTGGACTGTGGGAGGAAACCCACGAGGAGAGCAGACTCCACACAGAGAGACCCCAGGTCCAGACTGGGAATTGAACCCAGGACCTTCCTGTGGTGACGCAACAGTGCTAACCACTAAGCCACCGTGCTGTCAATTCATGATGCCTGGAATTATCCTGCTCTGGGGCCCCGTCCTCACCTGCCAAAGGGCTCAGCACTCAGCCTTGAATATGGTTCCCCCTGATGGGGGCGTGGCCAAACCCAGGAACCCAAAGACCCAAACAGACCTGAACTAAAACCAAAACCAAGACCCAAACAAAGATCAAAACAAAGACCAAAACCAAGACCCAAACAAAGACCAAGACCCAAACCAAGACCCAAACTAAAACCCAAACCAAGACCCAAACTAA